TTACTGCAAAACAGAAGCAAGTCGTGCTGGGACCTAGTGAAATACCTCACGTAGCCGGAGACGTGTCCGATGGCAGCGCGCAGGACCACAGGTGCATCCATCCTCCTCGGGAAGTCTCGGCTGCAGCTTGTTGGCGCTGGCAAAGGCGCAGCCTCGTCTGGCCAAGCCCACGGAGGGCCAGCGGCTCCCGCGGGCAGGGAGTGCTCGTGTTTTACCGATTTGCTGTGCAGGAACGTGGCTTTGCCTCTTTTCCCCAGGGTCTGGGGGAGGTGCTGGGTCTCCCCTTAACATCCACAGCCCCCAACCACCCACGGGGAGCCCTGTCCTCAGTGCAGGGACAAGGGCAGAGTGGGGAAGAGCCCCAGGGTCCTTGCTGGGGTCCCCCCACAAGTCTGATCCCCCCACGTGCCTGCGGACCAGCACAAGGATGCCAGGAGGATCCTGCTCCAGCCCACCAGGGTAGGTGGGCTGGTTTCAGGAGCTGCCCCGCAGCCCCACTGGGTCTCGCCGTGAACCCCGTTGGCAGCGCCGCGATGCCCGGCTGCAGTTGCGCAAATTGCTCCTCCGTCACCAGCGCCCGTGGCTCACCGCCATCCCACCTCCCGCCGGGATAGAGCTAGCAGTGCCTGGGCGAGATGTCCTGGCACCGCAGCCGGCACAAGTGACGAAGCAGCAGCAGCTCGTGCTGGAGGAACGCGCCTGAACAGTGGCTCCTTTATCTGTGTTTTCCCCAGCAAAGCTGGGAAGGAGCGGCCGCATCAAAGGATCCTCCTCCGCACGGCCCCTGCCTGGCTCGGCCCCTGGAGGAGGGGGTGGCTGGGGACAGCAGCCCTCAGCTGCCCCGAGTTGGTGACAGGAGATAAACTCCAGCTGCCCGTGGGACCCCGGCCCTCGGATTCCCTGTCCCTCGGATTCCCTGTCCCGATCCGAGTCCCAGATGGGATCCTGGGGCAGGTCTACGCCTCTGGACAGACAGACAGAGCTGGGACTTAGAGAAATCTCGTACGTGGCTTCCTTTCCATTTTTACTGAGCAGAATGAAAAATTATCCTTCTGAGGCAAGTAGAAAATTCAGGAATTATTAGTCAAAGGCACATATTCTAAAAAAATCTCTTTACATATATACATCTCAATTAATTATAAATACACATAGAAAAACAAAGGCAAACAACAAGCGGATTAAAAAGTGCTAACAAAAAGGTGTAAGGGAAGAAAAAAAGGGACTCATTTAAAAATACATACAATCAGTAGGACAACTGCATAATAATTTAGTTAAAAGATATTGTTACATATTATTAACCCTGACAAAAACACAGGATCGGGGCAGGGAAGGGCTTCCTTGAAGGTGCTCTCTGTTTTTCCAGAGATCGGGGAGGGAGAATTGCATAATTTTAAAATTAACGTCAAAGCCACCGGGTAAGGCTCCGGGTGACGGCGGAGAAGTGGCTGGGGGGGGGGGGCGGGCGGCGGAGAAGTGGCTGGCGGAGGGTGCCTAGCGGGAGAATTCCTCCTCGCTATTCCTGAGTTTAAGCCTCTCTGAAATGGGTTTTCCCCGGCGTCCTTTTCTCCTCGCCGAGAATTTGGCGAGCGCCAAGCAAACGAACCAGGACACGGGCGAAGCCAGGGCCTCTCCACGAGTGGTGTGGACTGGGACGTATTTTAAATAGAGGGGGGTGTGGGGAAGGGGAGAGCCTTGCTCTGGTCAGGACTAGGAAAAGGCTGTTGCGGCACCCCGAGAAAGCGGCCATCCCTGGCCGGCCCTGCGTCGAGAGGCGAGCGTGGCTGCCGCGAGCGAAGCTGCGGGAAAAGCACAAAACTTTCAGGGAAGCGGCAGGGCCCCGGGGTGGGGGCACGCAGGGGCTCCTCATCTTTGGTGTTAACTTTGAGGTAAGGACGCTTCCTTGAATGCAGTAAAACGCGGCCCTGACTGCAGGGCTGACCCCGGCCAGGCGGGCTGGTGGGAGGCCGACGCCAGCTGGGGAGGGGGGGGGGTAAGGACAAGCCCCCAAACGAAGGGCAGGGACCAGAGGAACCTCAAAAATGAGCCCAGACGTGCATCATATGGGGCGGGTCCCATGGTCTTAATGTGTCAGGGAAGGTAACTCCCGTCTCAGCAGGAGCACAAACACTGCGGACGCTGACCCAAAGCGCTTCTCAACAGCAAACAGGGTGCTCGACCAGTCCCTGAGCCCTGGGGGGGGACTTGAGGGGGGCAAGGCTCTCTGCCTGGAGGAAGGGACTCAACCAGGAGCCGTAAAGCTCCAGGCCCCTCAAGACTGACCTGTCAGGGCATGGGGGACCCCAGCAAAGGCCTCTCCCGGCTGGACCTCCTTCCCCAGCTCCTCTCCGAGGAAGGGCCAGGCCAGCCGGGGAAGGTCTCGCATCCTTCCCCTGAAAACATCCTGGTGCCGCTTCTAGGAAATACCTCGACGACTCAAGGCAGAGAAAAGAAACACAGCAGAGGGGAGGCTTGCAGAGGAGCTGCCAGGCCTGGAGCATCCCTGCCAGCAGGCAGCTTCCTGCCAGACTCCTTAGATTAAAGAGAGAAAACAAAAGACAGTTTCCCCGGGACCTGCCGAGGTGAGATGCTGCTGGAACAGGGATGGTGACAGAAGTGGCTGGAGGCTGCCTCTGTCCTGGGGAGAAGGCAGCTTAAAAAGGCCAAGGGGCAGTGGGTTGTCTGGGGCAGTGCTTTGCAAAGCAGACCTTTGCTCTTTGGTATTGGAGGTTGAATTTGCAGCATGAGCAGCGATACTGCACATCCCCGGTGCTCATCAGGGAACTCTTCCCTTCTGGGGCCTGGGAGCAGCTCTCACCAAGGTCAGCGGTGGGCAGGGCAGGTCACCCAGATCCAGGCACCCGGGCCTGCGTCCATGGCCCAGCCAAGGACAAGCCCTACAGAACGGGACCGGCAAGACGGCCAGGTGAGAAGACACCACGCGACAGCAAGAAGTTGGGCAAAGCATGGCCAGCCACAGCAACCTTGCGAGGCTAAAGTGCAGGACAGGCTGATGGGACACGTGGCCCTTCTGCTCCGGGGAATCCCCCTCTGGTCCCAGTGCGGCTGAGCTCTGACAAACTCGCGAGCTCTGCCACTGTACTGACAAAGGAGGCGCGGGTGCAGCCAGCTCCTGCCCTCTCCTGCGGAGCTCAGACAGCCCCAGAGGTGTCGGTGTCCCTTCCCGGGAAGGGCAGAGCAGGCACAGTCAGTTTTGCTTCTCTCAACTACGCCTGCTCAGCCCTGGACAGAGGGACAGTGGAGCTCGGCGGCTCCCGACTCCTCTGGGACAGCATTCCCTTCCCCTTCACCTCTGCCTTCAGACCCAGCCCTCCAGAGCAGCCTCAAGGTCCACAGCAGGGCTGGGGCAGCCCAAGAGAAGCGCTGGCAGCAGCCGATGCAGGCACGGTTTGGTCAGCCAGCTCTCGGGGGGGACCAGCTCTCTGGGCTGGAGGGCCGGGGAAGGCATGACCCAGCTCGGAAACTCAGTAGTCTGCAGGGGGACGGGCACAGAGGAGGGGGTGTCTCTCCTCAGTCCTACGCGGGCGCTGACCCTTGAGCAGGACTCGAACACAGCAGAGACCATCAGGCCAGATCAGCTGAACTTGGCAGCACTCAACTCCCCCCCCCAAGCGCATGTTACATACAAATCTATACATGCCTGACTGTATATTATATATAAATAAACTTTAAGGAACTGTAGGTTTCTTTTTACCCTCAAAAACAGAAAAGGGTCAGTCCAAACCAGTAGAAAAGCTGGGGCTCCGCAGCTCTCACCTCTGCACCAAAGGATGCGGATCCACAGCGGCCGAGCATCGCCTGGCGTGCCCAGCTGGCTTTCAGAAGTCTGGGAAAGGCCCACTGAACTGGATCACACTCTGGCGCTCCTGGGGAAGTATGTTCTCCTGGGGGGTCCCATTTAACGTCCTTAGCATGTCCTCCAGGATCTCTCTAAAATTGATATTCCCATCCTGTTGGACAAAATCTTCTTGCTGCTGTTGCAGTGTCTGCAAGGGTCCCGGGTGAGGCAGAGGCAGGTGTTCGTGCAGCGAGGAGCTCAGAGGCACGCTCCCCTCCAGGATGGGGGCCGGGCTCTGGAAGGCAGAAGGGTGGCTGAAGCCAAATCTGTGCTGCTGGTGTGGCTGGAGAACAGGCTCAGAGGGGAAGCACAACGCACCGGGCTCTGGGTTCATCACCACATCGGGAATGCTGTTGCTGGGAGGGCTATAGGTCAAGTCCAGGATCTCATCCTGGCGCAGGGAGTGCCTGGGCAGGGGGACCCCGGGTCCCGTCTGCGTGAGGTCCAGAGGCATGTGCAGCGGCAGGGGGAACTGCAGGCTCTGCTCTTGGGCCTGAAGGAGTCGGTTGTGCTTTCGCTTCACGTTCTCGTCCATCTGCTTCAGCTCCTCCAGCACCTTACGGACACAGCTCTCAGGGATCTTTATCCCTAGGGGAGGAACGTGCATCAGTCCCCAAAGCACTTCAGGAAGGGACGCGGCACTGCGGGGACAGAGGGATGGGCAGCAGCACTGGGGCCCGTTTGTCAAGCACACTCCCAGCCTGCTTCGCCTCTCGGCCGGGCTGCAGAGCAGGGAGATGGGACTGCAACCAGAGCAAAAGCATCTCCGCGGCAGGCTCGTAGCAGGCAGCAACAGTACCGCTTCACACGGGCATGGAGGGGGCACAGCTCAGGCCTGGCTCACACCCTCTGCCCAGTGCCCAAACACGTGTCAGGGGACCCCCAGCTCCCCTCCTTCCCATGGGGTCACCTAAGCAACGGGCGCTTCCAGGCAGGGACACGGCCCTGTTTAGGAAGGGAATTTTGGCACTGGGCAGCTGGACCCCTTCTTCCTTCTCCTAAGATGTTCTGCTCCCCTTCCCGTTCCCAGCACTTCACCCACCGACTTGTTTCTTCTTCTCCTTGGTCTTGAGGCGGACGATCTGCAGGTAGCTGGTGTTGGTGATGTCTGCCATGATGTTGGCGATCCTGCTCCAGACCCGCAGCAGGGCCCCGCACAGCATGTAGTAGTGACGCAGGCGCATGCCCTGGACGCACTCCTTCCCCTCCTGGATCAGCTTGCAGCTCCTGTTCCTTCAGTTCAAATGGGAGAAAACCACCCAAATCAGCACAGGCTCCCACGGCAGAGCAGGATCCCCACCCGCAGCCTCCCCAGCGTGGTCCTTCCCCACTGCCACAGCCAGGGACCCTCTCCCCAGCACTGGCTCTGCCTTGGCGAGGGCAGGGCAGGACAGGTTGGGGCTGCAGATGCCTTACCAGACAGCATGGTTACACTTCTTCAAGGAGAAGCGGTAACTGCTCTCCCAGTGCTCCTTGGCTTCCTCGGGCGGCACCTGCAGAAGAAACACAGAGCATTAGAGATTTTCCACGGTCTGACATGCAGCTGAGATTTGAAATCCAGGGCTGGGAGTTAGGACATTGTCCTGGTTTCGGCTGGGATAGAGTTAATTTTCTTCCTAGAAGCGGGCATAGCGCTGTGTTTTGGATTTAGTATGAGAATAATGCTGATAACACACTGATGGTTTAGTTGTTGCTCAGCACTGCTTATGCCAGTCAAGGACTTTTCAGCTTCCCATGCTCTGCCAAGGGCACAAGAAACTGGGAGGGGGCACAGCCAGAAGAGTTGATCCCAACTGGCTCAAGGGCTATTCCATACCATACGGCATCATGGGCAGTATGGAAACTGGGGGGGTTGGCCGGGGAGCAGCAATCGCTGCTCAGGAACTGTCTGGGCATCGGTTGGCGGGTGGTGAGCAATTGCATTGTGCATCACTTGCTTTGTATGTTATTATTATTATTATACTGTTACTATTATCATTACCATTTTACTTTATTTCAATTATTAAACTGCTCTTCTCTCAACCCAGGAGTGTTTCTTACTCTTACTCCTCCAATTCTCTCCCCCATCCCACCAGGGCAGGGGCAGTGAGCGAGCGGCTGCGTGGTGCTGAGCTGCTGGCTGGGGCTAAACCACGACAGACACCCAGGTGCTACCACTCTCTCTGCCCAGTCCACAGCAGGTCTAGGAGGAGCTGTGAAGGGGCTAGAGTAAATGTCCTTCCAAAGCCACCCTGCCCAGAAAAAGAGGCTTTTCCCTCTCCCCACACTGGAGGGCTGCAGCTCCCACCTACCCGCTGGTACTTCTTCTGCAGACTGTCCAGGCCCTCAGGCTGGCTTTGCTTCCCAATATTTGGCTTGTAGAGGATGAAGTTCTTCCCGCGGCTCTGCTCTGCCAGCAGACAGGTGCGTTTGCAGCCTCGCATCTGTCAGGGTAGAGCTGATGGTTACAGTCCCAGCCTCTCTCCCCAAGCCCGTATTTCTCTAAACTAACCCCCTTCCTTCCAGGATGGAGGTTCTTGGAGGCATCTCCCAGCAAGAGGTCAGACATAGACCTCTTACAGCCATGGTGGACCTTCTCCCGCTGGAGTCACCCTCCAAACTGTGCCGTCACCCCGGCAGAGCCCAGGGACCTACCTTGTAGGAGAGGTAGAACCCATCGAAGGATCCTGTCAGTTTGAGTGACTTCTCATAAGCTTCCTCCCACTTTAAGCCTCTGTCGACACTGATCTAAACAGGGACAAACAAAGATTCTGTAACTTCAGAGCACAGGACAAGTGCATCAGTGTCTGTCTCACAAAGCACACCCTCAACACAAACTTGGTGTTGCTGCAGCCTAGAAACAGGCACTGCCAGCCCGGAGCCCCTGGGGCAGGGCAGGGCCTCTCCTTGCTTCCTCCGTGTAACTCCCAGCAGTCAGCTGCTCACGGCCAAGGCAGACGTGACACAAAGCCACAGGGCAAGGGGAGGGACCCAGCAGCTCACAGCCCCAGACTGGGAAGCACTGGAGTAGACTGGACTGCAGAGATAGCTGTGCAGGCTGCCTACCTTATAAAACACGACCTGCCCATCCTGAGGGTGCCCAGGGGTCAGGAAGACCTCCTTGCTCTCCTCGTAGATCTCATCCACTCCTGGGGCTAAATCTGTAGGAGAAGAGACTGCTGTAAGATACATCTTCCTGCACCACCTCCTCTCCCAGCAAGAGTCTCAAGATCTGTGCTGCGTGGGGACACCGCAGTGCCCGAGATGGCTGCTGAACAGCCATCAGTCAGCACAGGGAGGAGCAGAGAACCTCAGGGGTGCAGAAGGGAGAGGTCTGGCCACCCCTCCTTCTCCATACCTAGGATGCCCATGTCGTATTTGCCCTCCTTCTTGTCCTTTTCAATCAGATAGTCAAAGGTGTCAGAAAAATACTGGAAGAGCATGTTCTGCTTGTCCACCTCCAGACCCAGGATGCGGTTCAGGAACTTGGTGATGGAGCAGTCTGCAAGAGCGTGGCGGGTCAGGGAACACGGCACAGTTGGGCACGGAGCCCACCAGCACGCTCCCAAAGAGAGCCACCCAACAAGCCACCCAATGTCCCTTCCCGACAGCAGCACAGCACTAATGCGCAAGAGAGCAGCCCAAGGGCTGTTCCTCCAGCTGTGGTCAGCTGCCAGGCTGCTGCAGGGAAAGGTGACCTGCAGCGTGGGCTAACCCCCGCAGGACCCTCCCCTCAAAGCAAGCATCCTGCCCCAGCTGCACAGCAAACCCCTCGAGGCTGTGCTCCCAGATGGACCGGGTGGGCCATGACACCCCCGCCTCTTTCACTTCTCCCCTACGCTGGAGAGGAAAAGCTTGACACGTACCCTTCTCCACTGAGACGGTGCCATACTTCATCTGATTGCAGCAGATCCCCACAGAGATGAGACCTTGCTTCATTTCTGGAACGGCAGAAGACAGCTTGTACATTTTAGGGTTAAGCTTCTCCTCAGCAGTCCTGCAGGGCTGTTTCCCCTCCAGCTGTGCCTGTTATTTCACAGCTAAGCTTGTCCCAGACCCATTTGCCCCCGCCTCTGACAGGGTGACATGCATCTGAGTGGCCAGTTGTCCTGCTCACTAGTGAGCTGCTAAGCCAGTGGTACTGTTCCTTCTCTCTGACCTTCTGCTCCAGCCTGCTGCTCGGTTCTTCAAGCATCTCAAACCTGAGACTGACCCGGCCAGCAAGATGCAAAGAAACCCCAGAGCTGATAATGTTCTTACCATGGAAAAATGCAGCTTCCCCTCTGTCATAGCTCTTGGGCACAGGAACTCTGTTCTCCGTGTGGTTGAGGATAGTGGAGAGAACTCTGTCTAGTGCTTTAGCCCCGTACTGTGAAAGGAGGCAAGAATCACGCATGGGACAAACCTACATTGGCAGCCCAGCAGTGGACTGAGTGTGTCACACCACTTCTCCTGGCACTGCAGAGAAAGCCATCGCCTCCATGAAAGGCCACTGACCTGACGGCTGTGCCAAGGGGGAAGCCATGTGCCAGGGCCCTTCTCTGTCCCTAGGGGACCGGAGTACAGGAACCTGCATGTCCGCACCCCGGCGCTGGCACCGGCTCCCTTGGGGGCAGAGGCCCAAGCGCCCTTCCCGGCTCCCCCGTGGGAGCACAAGCCTCTCGCCAGCGCGGTGCTCGGATGCACAACGCTGATTATTAACTCAGTTTTGCATGCTGTCGAAGAGGCTACGGGCAGGGAGCTGGGTGCTAGGCCAGATCCTGCCTGTAGATGCCAGCAATGATCTTCCTGGCTCTGGCTCCCGCTGAAGGCACTTGCTAACTACTTCAACCCCTCCTTCGCTGAGCTACCCCGAGAAGAGCCGCAAGTTACCTTATTCTCAAAGTTGTACTTGCTGAGGTCTCGGGATTCAGTGGCCCGTCGGTCTCCGTGAGTTAAGGCACCCTAGGAAGGAGGATCAAGCAAAAAGTTCTTACTTTTAGCTGTTGCAAAACACCACGGAAGGATGGCCAAGGCCACGTCTCAGAAGAGGCCAGGATAAGAACGTGCTGCGGGGAGAGGCAGTGTTCCTCTGGAATACTGAGACTTTACCAAAGTATTTGGGGATTTATCAGAAGTGAAGAAAAATGAAACAGAGACAAATTAATTATCCCATTAATTATTTCATCAGCTTTATGGAAACAGATGGGTTTACGCTCCTGTAACAGCAGGGGAATTCCAGCATCTGGAATTGGGTTCTGCTTCCCTGAAATTCCTCCTGATGCCTCAGTTACATATTCTTCTTCACTTCCTTTCCCAAATCCCAGGATGGTAAAAGCACTCTGCGTTCCACAACTACAATGCCTTCCGTCAGGGGTGATGCAATCCCCCCTGCTAATTAAACTAGCCATGCCAGTGGGAACACCGAAATGGAAGCTCTTCAGAGAGAATTGGAACCGACATATTAATCTCTTTGCTGCAGGGCACTTACTAGGCTCTCCAGACGTTTTGCCACGATGGATGCAAACCTCCTCTCCCCTGCCAGCTCAGAGATAAGGAAGACATACTCTGGAGCAGAAACCTGGTTCGATCGGTGCGTTCGACCTACAGGGATGCGAGAACAGAAGTGAAAGGAGAGGTTGGTACTGCCTGGCTGGTACGGGAAGGGAAGCTGAGCAAGAGGTGAGAGAGCCAAGACAACATTCCATGTCATCCATGCTGGTTTTCAAAGGAGATATCTCTTTGGGGGAAAAAGGACAGAGGCACAGTTGCATTCATCACCCTGGTGCTGCTGACACCTTGGCAGAGCTGAGTTTATAGCCCTGACCCTCTGGGGCTGAGGAGTGACTACGCAGTTTGAACTAGGATGTGCATTATTTCTTTTGTGCTCACATATTGAGGAACTGTCCCTCCCCATCGTACAGAGCCTCCCCAGGGTGGAACAGAAATCCCCAGGCACACCCAGCATGTTTCACAAGGACACACTGCTAACATGTATGGGAGGGTTCCCCTTTCCCACACTGCAAATCACTCCTGAAGTCAACACAAACCTTCCCCACGAGAAAAATCAGTCACAACTGCTTTGTGTCAGCACTTCCATCCTGGCAAAACACAGGAGCACTGTGCTCTGCAAGGTGCCGTATCTTGGAAAGCTAAATACACCTGCCCCGGCTGTAGCACAAGCCCGGCGCAGGCGGCCACGCACGCCTTTCCCTCCCAGGGCTGCCCGAGGCTTCACGGTCTGAACCACGCTCAGAGGAAGGGGAAAGTGACCAAGAACACCCAGCCCTCACCAAACTGCTGTATGGCCCGGTCGGCGCTCCAGGGCAACTCCAGCGTCATGTGGACCCGGCGCTTCTGGTTTTTCACCCGTCTGTCTGCTTGGAGAGAGATACCTGAGCTGGAGGCCTCGGAGATTATTGCTACAAGCTAAGGGAGAGAGACAACAAGTGAGAAAGGAGAGCGAGGTTCCTGGACATCTGCAAAAATGCTTCAAGAAACAGCTCTAAGCACAACGGTAGCCCCAGCCCATGAAGGGACCCAGGACTCCTTGTCACCTTCCAGCAGGTCAAACGGACAGAAAGCTGCAGAGCCTTGCTGGCCTGAGGCTGGCAAGGCACAAGCATGCAAAAAGCACCCTCCTTTTCCTTCCCCTCTCAGTGTACTCGCTCCCGTGCAGATGTTTGGAGGTTTCCTTAGCTGGAACATGACTCACCTTTTCCCCTTTCATAAAACGCTCCTTCTCCTTCAGGTTGACATGGTCTATAGAGAGGCCTTGCTCTGCACGAGACTCGAACATGACGGAGCCATCCGGTCTGCAAACCACCCGGCCCTTCCGCCCCGTCATCTGCACACACCGCACAGGAGAGAGAGAGGCTGTCAGCGGAGGCGAGAGACCTGCACGGCGCAGCAAGTCAATTTAGAAAGTAAATTGTCAACAGTTTTTTCAGATTGTATGGAAGGAGAGGAAACCCTCTTCCAGCAGAAACCTTCTTTGCTGGCCCCTTTTCCTGTCACCCGGTGCCACCGAAATACACTCTTGATTGTGAGGAGTACCTCAGCCACATGCTCCGGGCCCCCAAAGTGATTGATGAGTTCATCCAAGGTATTGAGAGGTAGCTCTTTGCCCAGTGCTTTTACTTTTGCTAGGAGGTCCTGCTTCATCTTTTCCACGTGTTCTAGTTCTCTCAGGCCATGCATCTCTTTCTGGGAAGGCAGCATGTGAAAATTACCTGCAACGTAAAATGCAAAAGTTTAGAGTTACCCGGTAATTGCAAATCAGAGAGGGGGGAAAAAGGTTGTCCCAAAGGGCTCCTGGGGGCACTGTCTCACGAGCAGCCAAAGACACCTTGACTTGCAACAAATGCTGCTGAGCATGGAGTGAATTCCCTCTGTGCTCCCCCCTGTTTTGGTGGGGAAAGGAGCATGCAGGACAAATTCTTCCTGCTCGCTGATCACAGCAGGTTAATGGGAATCAACCTCACAAGCCCAAGTTTGACCATCACAGGATAAAATCTAGCCAAGATCATAAGGCTGTTCCAAGTACAGAAGGAGCTTCACCATTCCAGGAAGACACCAAGAGTCTCCTCACATCAGCTCACTGACTCTGCAATCCCCTTAGCCAGACCCCCCTCAAAAAGGGTCACGCCTGATCTGCCGCTGTCCGTGCTCGCAGGGCACTGGGGTGGGCGGCTGTCTCCAGCTGCGTTCCCGTGCACTGGGTGCCATGCTCTACTGAACAAAGCGACTCCGGTTCCCAGCTCCCCCCAGGGAGGAAGGAGCTGGCCCCGTGCTGCTGCTCTGCTTACTTCTGTCCTCAGCTGCGAAGCCGTTGTAGGTGTGCTCAACGAAGATGACATCGTCTGTCTCAAACACGGACTCTGGGGAGGAGTTGAAGTCACTGTCAAGCCCCATGTCGGAGTCGGTGCTGCTGTCATCGCTGATCTTGATCACACCCGCGGGGTCACACACGCCCTTCAGAGCCTTGGCACAGCGGCCCCTCTGCTTCCCTGCAAGGGAGAGCGAGCCGTGTCAAGGGAGAGCCCCCAGCCTCGTGCATCAATGCAGAACAGCAAGTGCCAGCTCAGAAAAAGGAGGAGGAGGAGGAGAAATCACAAAATAGCTGAGATTGCCCCAAATGAAAGGCTGATCTTGGAAAGACAGAGCCTCTTGGGTGGGGTGGGGGGCAGTTAGGAAGGGAAGGAGAGAGGCGGGGGG